GTTGCTACTGCTGCTGTAATTATGGCTGCTGGTGCTATTGCTCGGCCTATCCGATGAGTCTTTCCCTGGTGTCTTCAGCAACTCCGAAATAGATTTTTTCGAATCAGTTTTCGAGAGTGAACGCTTACACTTATCCGATTTCTTATTCGGCTTTGGTGATTTCGCTTGTTGTGCCTGATGTGGTTGCTGTCGATTTGAACTACTTGCGTGTTTGCTGCAAAAGAAAATAGCAAAAAAATTTGGCTGCGTTACAGTCTTATCAATTTCATTAGGGACTAACTACGCAACTACTTTTTCGGTTACTTTGAATTTTTTGAGCAAATAAAACCGCTGACCATTTTGGTGAGAAACATTTGCAGTAGAGCTTGGAATTTCTATGCTTTCAAAGCTAAATTATGGGATAATTTTTTTGACAAATCCAATGCAAGTTTATAAAACAAAAAAATTTTAAATGTTGACTGTCGTTATCGACGACAATGGAAGAACTTCTATGAAATAAAAAGGATTGCGCGATTAACTTAACTCTAGAAGTGAGGATGACTTTGCTGTAGAAACCTAATAAGTGCAGTTTAGGAAATGGTAGTTGGATAGCGGGGTTTACATATTTCGCTTCTGTTACATTTCAGTAATTCTCAACAGACTAATAATTTGTTTACGTTGATGAGCGGCTTTCATTATTTTTATTCCGAGTGTATTCTAGTACTTAGACAAAATCTGGATACGAAAAATACGGCCGCGCCTTGTGTCTGCGATGCTAGACTGGGAAAATATGTATTCGAAATTCGCTAATAGACTTAGACCTATGTACAGATATGTAGTAGTTAGCTCGGCAAAGAACTTGTTAAAAACTTATCAAACTACATTGCAGACGTGTTGATAGTCGCGGAACATGTGTCCAGTATTTAAAATATACGTATTCACGAGTCAGTATTTTTCGGAGCTACTTAAGAAGAGTTCGATTATAGGAACGGACACTCACGAATTCTCAGAAAACACTTCAACAACATGACGTTAGCTGAAACTGAGGGTTGCTACCGCGATTGTTTAAGCTATTGATCGCCTAAAACCCTAGTCATTCCGATACATAAAACCGGCGCTGAAGGTCACTTTACGCCATAGTAACCCGCTGTTTTTAAACTCGACCCCCCCTGTAAGGGAACTGCCAATCCTTATCTTCATACTTATTTCCTTATCCGTATCTTCAATCTTATCCTTATCATTATCCTCATCCTCATCCTTATCCTTATCCTTATCCTTATCCTTATCCTTATCCTTATCCTTATCCTTATCCTTATCCTTATCCTTATCCTTATCCTTATCCTTATCCTTATCCTTATCCTTATCCTTATCCTTATCCTTATCCTTATCCTTATCCTTATCCTTATCCTTATCCTTATCCTTATCCTTATCCTTATCCTTATCCTTATCCTTATCCTTATCCTTATCCTTATCCTTATCCTTATCCTTATCCTTATCCTTATCCTTATCCTTATCCTTATCCTTATCCTTATCCTTATCCTTATCCTTATCCTTATCCTTATCCTTATCCTAATCCTTATCCTTATCCTTATATTTATCATTATCTGTATCTTTATCTTAATCTTTATTTACATCTTTATCTTTATCTTCATCTTCTTCCTCTTTTGACAGCGCTTTTTCCTTCACATTTTTATTTATCCATGTCGCTTTTATTATTTTTGTATTTATCTTTTATCTTTCCCTCCCAAGCGGCGTTCAACGCAGCCGTTCAATTTCTGTCCACGTATCACCAACATCTCCGAAATAGATTAAGAAGTTTCGTTCAAATAAACAAAAACCCATTTCGGTATTGATAGTATTTCAAGGATCAAAGGAAACTAGCGCCTTCTGCTATCAATCGAAATGATTTAGGGTCCAATTAGTGGTGCTATAACCATAACTTTGTCAAAAGCTTCAAACCTGCTTATGGTTATGGCGAAAAACCTACGGTTAAGTTATGGCTACGCCACCACTAATTGGACCATCAATCAACTAATTCGCTATGATCTTACTACCGTAAAATCTTTACTGTGAACCAAGTCAATGGAAAATATACAAATCTTAGCAACATTCAGTAACCCTGGTACCTTATGTCAGTTCAAATCTATACAAACGTTTTTGGAAATCCAACAAATTAGTACAAAAAAAAATATATATATTTTTTTAAGAAATATGTTGGCAAGGATCTTTCGACGTCACCTTTTAGGCGCACCTGAAAATTTTTTGGGGTACGTTGGATGCGCAACGAAAATGCATTTACGCATTTTACTTAGAATAATCTGATTTTGCTAAAATTCGTTTCTTCCAGCTTTTGCGCAAATCGGTGTTTCGGCAATGAATACAGCCCGTATATACCCGGTGGTGGACTGGAGAAATTACAAGGCGGCTTCAAGGAGGAAAGCTATTTCAAGCTGAACGACCTCAAGTTGATGTTGAAGATGCGTGAACAGACGCTGCGCGGCTCTGGGTATGACACGACAGACATAAACGTTGCGATAGCACAAGTCAATCAATTGGAACGCGACACAGAGATGGAGGCTCATCGGCAGCAGGGTTTAATGAATAAACAAAAAAATTGCATGGAGGAGCTATTCTTTCTAGCCGAAGTAAGTGCAGTAATGGGAAAAGAAAAAAATGCTTTTTGACAAATGTAGCAGCATACTCACAAAAATGGCATTTTTTTTCGTCTGTTCGACAGGAAACGATGAACTTGCGCAGATTGGAAACCAAAATGCGCGCACAACTCGAACAGAAGTTGCGTGATGAACTCGCAGCCAAGAAGCGTCAACGTGCCGATGCTGAATTAGCCAATGGTATGGAATCGTTACCCCAAATGCCCAATGCCCCAATGTTTAGTTGAAATTTTTTCTCAAAATTCCTTTTTTTTATTGAAACGAAAAGACAAAATTAAGTACGTATATTTTGGTAAAAATAAGTTTATATGCACGTTGGATTTTTTTAAATTTTTTTCGTTTTGAATATTACATATACGTTTCGTTTCCGGACAGTGGTACATATCTGAAAATGGGGGAAATTTAAAAAAGACCAACTGCAGAGTTGTACGAAAAACACAAGAATATTTATGTAAACGAAAAAAAACGGTAGAGGCGCGATAACTACTCACTGTTGTTGTTATACACACTTTTGTGCATATAAATTTTGGTTCGAAAATAAATTAGCAGTGTAAAATGCTCAGAAACTACAGAGCAGAATTTAGGCCTGCTGTGACCCATGATTGATTTATTAATTAACATATATATATTTTTTAAGTTTTTTTCTTTAAGAATTAAATAAAAAATACATATGTATGTATATTTGAGCGGTTAAAGTTTGTTTTATTTAAAAGAAAAAATTCTGATTTTGAAAGAGCTATTTAAAAAGACGTAGTGGTAAAGGATCTGAATTTTTCACATAAGATATGTACATACATATATACATATATCTGGCGGAAAAGCTCTCTACAGCTTTCGATAGATTTTATATGAACGCGTGCGATGTTAAAGGCCTCTTTGGTGGTCACTCTGCTAGATATATCGGTTTAAAATCGCGGCAAAGTGCCCGGCACAAAAAAGAGGAAAAATCGGATATCATTTCCGAACAGATGAACATGTCAATTTGAGAATGGAACAAATGCAGGGTGAACGTGTGATATGAAAGTGTAGGCCGGAATTTTACTCATACGCACTTTTAAGCGAATTTTAACAAATTTCTAGTCCTTTGTTCTGACAATTTCCGTCGGTGGTGAAGATAAGAAAGCAGAGAGCAGGTATGTAGCTGAGTAGTGATCATCCGAAAACTGCGCAGTGACCTCTCCCCCAATACGAAATTTGAAAAGGGCAGATTGGCTGTGTTTTAAGAACGAGTTCCAGCGCTCGACTGCCGCGTCATCTAGGATACGTTCCGCTCAAGCTACTGATGGGGCGGTGGTTAATTGAACGGTTGTCCTATATGCCAGTTTTAATAAGGCTTGTGCGCCTCATCCTACCCTTTGAGGAACAAGGAGCGTCATACGCGGGGTGATTTGAGAAATCTCCTAAACCGGGCCCTCAGAACTAACAGTGAGATGGACTGGGAACACTTTCGCTGTACGCAAAGAGAGTACAAGAAACTAATTCGCACTACGAAAAGCGCTTCCTTCAAAGAGTACTGCAGTGGTATTGATAACGTGTGTCAAACGGCTAGGTTGGTAAAATTTATTAAAAGGGACTTAACTACAAAGCTGGGTTCGTTTAAGAGGCCTGATGGTTCCATTAGATACGTAGACACGAGTTGAGGATCTTTCTGTTCTGCTTGGGTACCACTTACCTGGAAAATTTCCCCTCGCCTAGTGTATTAAAATGGAAAAACTTGGCAGCACTGCATAGTTTTCGACGTTTTTCGTTGTTTACTTATTTTACCACGACAGTAAACAATGCTAATGTTGTCGAGTCGCACAATTTAGCCTAATTTACAATTAACGCAATGAGGCTGATTGATTTCCTTTTAAGTCGCTGTAACGATGATAATGATATAGCGACCTCGAACCGAAACCGGTGCAACAGTCGAGTTACCACTGTCATTTAAAAATTGATTTCCGGAATAACTTTTTCAGTTTCCTTTTACCGTACACTTCTTTACTAATGGTTTCTTCTAGCATACATTTAGGCGCAAGCTAAGCCGAAAACAGCTGCTGTATTTCGCTATTTCATCATTCAGCATCATTAGCTTGTAACGTGCAGACAAACAACGGAAATCGAATTACGAAAATACGCTCGATTAGTGTACGAAAGTATTTTTAAACAATTGAGTACAAAACTATAAGCAAATAATTGTGAAATCCAGAGAAATTTACTGCGCGCCAGCAAAATAAAAAGCATAAAAATGCTAACACGCCGCTCAATCGTTGGCGTACAAGCGTTGAAACAACAGTAAGTTTCTGTTTTACAAAAAACTTACGTAATTAGATTGTGAGCAGTGGGAAACTAGAGAATAGTAAAATTCATTAATTTAGTTGTCGCAAAATGTCGCAAGTCGGTGAATTGGGTAGTGGCGCTGGCAAGGGAGGCGGCGGTGGCGGCTCCATACGTGAGGCGGGCGGCTCGTTTGGCAAAATGGAGGCAGCGCGCGAGGAGGAATTCTTCTACAAACAGGTACATACTTAGATATTACTTGAAATATAAATACCTTTTTCGCACTTTCGCTTTTATAATCATTTAGCAAAAGGAGCAGTTGAAGAATTTGAAAACAAAAAGCGGCGATGCAACAAAGAATGCAAATTTAGCAGCGCAACCGGCGAAACAGTGAAATGATGGCAGAGAAGAAAAAAAAAATACGTTTGGATTGTTGTCAATCGGTGCATTGCCCTCAATTTGAAATCAGAATATTTTACGGCTACGTAAATGTGAAGTTTAAAAATTTGTTTTGACCACCTAGTTGTACAAAAATGTTTAGTTTTGAAAGTGAAAAGACTCTTATTCAATAAAGGAATAGGAAAAGTTACTAATTCGAAACAAAGTTTTACTCGAAATAAAAAATTTACCCAGATGACATTGGAACATTTTTTACATATTAGACGAAACTCTGCTTTCTGCTACTGTTGACTGGGTATTTCGAAAGAATCACTCGCGCGGGCCGTCGAGAGAAAAATCGGACACAGACTGCAGAATCACTGCCCTATACAAAAATAATTTATGATAAATTGTTTATTCTAATAATTGGAATATTTTGATAATAAAAGCCTATAACGAAGGAGCAATTGCATTGTAAATAAGTTAATTGTAAAAACAAATATTTTTAAAGCAAGCTTTCTTAATATAAACCAAATCGGACTATAAATACATATTTTTCAAATATCTCGACTCCTGCACCACCTATCGGATTAACTCATCTTTCGTATTGCATTGTCATCGAGTGCTGAGCCAACTGTGAAGTTTCAGGTCTCTAGGTCATCGGGAAGTTGGTCAAAAATTGATTGCAAGATCTGTGCGTAACAAACGTACATACATACATACATACCGAGCAAGTTAAATAAAAGCTTCTAAAAAACAATAACAAGTTATGGTTCTGATATTTCAGGCACTTACTAAGTCCGGGCCCGGGGAGGATTCACCCCTTAACTCCTCCCCCACGAAGGCCCTGGGCACGTCAATGGACTGATAAGAATTGTGTACAAGGCATTTGTTATCAGATGAAATTATGGATGCCCAATTTCATGTAGATATTCGATCAACTAATATCGATAATTCTAAGGGTACGTATATCGGTACAGGTGCGACACAGAGAAATCTGTTAAACTAACATTTCCTCTATTGAAAACAAAGTTGCCAAGAATTTACGAAGGCAAACGGCGCAACGGCTATTTTACAAAATTTATTCCATAATATTCATTCTCTGATATTTAAAATCCTGCATCGATTAGAAAATTCTCGATGCAAAAATCGATATTCTGTACTCATCGATGTTAATTCGACACTCCTAATTTTGGAGGGTAAACAAAAAAATCGCAGATAGCAAGTGGGCTGGAACGTTTGATAATTTGATTTTAAGTAACTAAAAATATGCATAGTATTTGTTGATGAGCCTTGTAAACAATAAATTATAGGCCCGGAGCAAATCGGCAATGCAAGCTAATCACATGATAAACATTTAGACGACAAACACTGGCTTTCACAAAAACAACAAAACTGCTGCAGATTGCCCTAGTGTCATTGATAACCCCTGGCACCCAAGTGGATGCTTGATTTTAATTCCATGCTCAAGCAGCAGATAACTAATGCGGCACTAGTTGGAGTAGGTAATTGTTGATAAGGCGTGACAAAGAGGGCAATTCATGCAAAAATTCAAAAGTAAAGCACAGTATACAGTAGCGGTTCGATCACAGCAAGGTGCGGAGCGTGCTTAATATAGGCTGTATTTTATTTAACAATCATAATCTAAGAAAAATGGCCACAACCGTTCGGAACCCATTGAAGAAAGTTTTGCGGCAACGCATGAAGACCGAGGTCATACCATCTATAAGCGCCGAGTCAATAGCTCGACAATCGAGGGCCATTTACGAAAAGGTCAGTTGAGATTTGTTAAATTTCTTGCAATATTTTCATTCTCAATTTCTTGCAGGTGATCGCCTCTGAGGCCTTCCGTCAAGCGAAAGATGTTAGCATATATCTAAGCACTGGCAGTGAAGTAGATACGCTACCTTTGCTACGTGAGCTCTTCAATCAGCAGAAAAATGTTTTTGTGCCCACGTACAGCGGCAAGCTTATGGAAATGGTGCGCGTCAAAGATTGGGCGGACTACGAGGCGCTGCCACTAACCAAATGGAATATAAAGCAACCTAGTGCAAAGGAGGGACGTGAGAATTCGCTAACAAATGGTAAGAAGGGCGGATTGAGTTTCTTGACGACTATGCTTTGCACTAATATAGTAAATCTTGTACCTTTGCAGGTCGCGGCATTGATCTGTTCTTGATGCCCGGTGTTGCCTTTACGCTAAGTGGCGGTCGTATGGGTCACGGCATGGGCTACTATGACAGCTTTTTGCACCGGCATTTTAATATTTACCCTGAGAAGAAACCAGTACTAATGGCTTTGGCATTCCGTGAACAAATCGTAGACGAAAGTACTTTGCCGCTAGATCCACATGACGTGCGACTTACAACTGTAATTACGGAATAATGAGCGCACTGAATTTAGTTGTAAATTTTTGTAAATAGTATATATGTACACAGAGATTCACGTTTACTTATGTGTGTTTAAATGTACTTTTATATTTTTAATAAAAAAGTTAAGTTAACTTAAATTATGTTCATTTTGTTTAGTTTTACTTAAATCCTAGCGTAGATAGGGTCGCGGGCGGCCGCCACGACCACGTGAGCGTCCACCGAAATGCGAATTGCCCGAGTAATGCGTTTCGCCAAAGTGTGGTTCGGTGGTGGCGCTGCGATAATGCGGCGACCCACCGTCTGCCCAAGTTGAGGGCGAAGACGTGCGCATAACTTTGGATTTGCTAGAAAGAGAAAGAATGCATTAAACACTTATTTTTTACTGATAGCACCCAATAACATACCGAAATGCCGCTGCCGTCGAAATACGTGTACCACGATTGCGCCCTACACGTGAACCACGCATAATAGGAGGTATTTTATTGTAGCCCGTTGGGCCAGTAGGTTGCGCGCCGCAAGTCTCTAATGCAAGAAAATCATCCACATGCAATGATGGCGGACGCGATGTATTCGGTGGACGTGAGCGGAAGAGATCACCGCGTGACGGGGGCGCGCGCGCAAAACCACGACCGCGCACGGGCGTGATATAGATTTTCTTTTCTGGTCGTCCAGTGCTCGGCTCCACCTCAACACGGCGCGTGCGGAAGCATGGCGCTGTGGGCGTGCGCTCGCGATTCGATTGCGGTGAAGCAGACAAATGTAGAACGCGCTTGCAATCTGATGTGAGATTCGTCTCGGGGGACAAGCATTCTGCAGCCAACTCGGTTAAATCGCAAGCGACGCGTTCGTACTTGCACTCATCGTAGTCTACACAGGCAGCTTGCAACCAGTAGCGCGCCTGCAGCTGCGTTTCATCCGCTGAATCGTCAAATTCAACGAAAATGGGGCGTGCAACAAATTGCATGACAATGCCCTCACTTTGCGGAAGTGTTGGTTCCGCAACATTCGCAGCTTCTTCATCATTTTCGCTGACGCAGCGCTATCAATGGATTCCAACAGTGTGGTAACATCAGGCAACATTTATTAGCGGAAGTGCTGTCATCCTCTACCTTAATTTGTGTGGGCGCTTTTTCCTTACATTTTGTGTGCGCGGCACTCAAGCGTTGAATTAGATGGGGCTTCGCGTTCTTTTGAAAACCTAGCAAGTTAGATAGCTGCAGGCACTCCATTTAATGGTGCGTATGGGTATAGCTTGCTGTTGCTGCAAGTATTCAGCAATATGCGTCAGCGAGTGTAGAAAAGCTATAAGAAACTCAATGGAGGGTAAGCGCGCCCGCTCTGATTCAGCGTAATTAAGGAACTTTTCGAGCCATTGTTGGAATTCAGCGCGTCTTTGTTTGAGCTGCTGCGTCAAATGAAAAGCGTTATGCTGGAGAGATAATACAATGAAAAAGGGTAAATAAATAATACAGATTCTCAAATACATATACATACTCAAGTTCTGTTAAAAGATTCAAGTTATTCAACGCCAACTCGCACATCTCCTGCTGGCATCACTATTGAACAGGTTTGTTAGTATAGCTTCAACAATGCGCGGCAACAACTCCTTCGCCGGCAATGCAGCGGCCAAATTCAATTCTGGCGTTGCTGTTGATTTTGGTGAAACGAACGATATTCCCGCGTCTATAAAATTCTTTAAAATATGCTGTATGGCCAATTGGCATTTTGCACAACCTCTGACGCAGGCCCAGCATAACAGAGCACCATTGGAAAGTTCCCACAACTTCCCGCTGAGTATGGACATCGCGGAAATCTTCAAAGCGGCGAAAGGCGTTAGACGCGCGAAGAAGTTCAACAAGCGCGCTAATTGTGCACTGGGCGTGGCAGAAGCTGACTGCCATTCGGCGCACAATAAATCGCTAAGAGTTTTTGAAATAAGTACGTCATGTTGGGAGCCAAGTCAGCAAGTTGTAGGCACACTTTTGTCATTAGATCCACCAGAGGCGGAAAAGTGGAAGGTGCAATGGTTTCAATAAGTTTGGCGATTTGTGCGCTCTGCGGATGCAAATGTGCTGACCAAAGCTTCCGCTCGGTAATCAAGCGCTGAGTTTGAGTTTCGGGTAGCTGCGCATCGGCGGGCAATGGTATGGGTAATGGTAGCGGCAGCAATTCGGCGAGCACATGCAAGCCTGCAAGAGATAAAGTGAATGAGTTAAATGTATCAAATTGTGAGCAAATTGTGATATTTACCTGGTATGAATGTGCCGGCCGTCAATGTTCTTTAATATTTCTCTAATCATTTGCGTCCACAATGATTTATGCAGCGATTCCTCGTCCTGTTCGTTGGGCTGCGTATATGCCAGCAATATCTGTATGATTTCCTGCTTGGCTTGTGCTATTTCATGCGCCGCATGACTGGAAGACGGAAAATAATGCAACAGGAAATATGCTTTCATTAGATGATCGATGGCAGTCAAGTCCTTAAATTCCACATCTCGACATTGTATGCATAAGAAAGCATAGCGCGCAGCACTTGCAAAGCTGGTAATATTATCTGACAGCAATGAAGGCCCTGCAGAGTCACCAGAGCGGGTGTGTGTAGGCCCGGTTGTTCAAAATATGAACATAATTTTTCAAGTATTTGCACAATAGTTTGCACACCATCAGCGCATAGAACTGCAGCGTCACAAATCTATATTTCAGCTGCTCTGTATTGGAACTGCGGAATGCTTTGCAGGTGGGGCCAATGGCTAGGTGACGCAAGATACGCAAACCCATAATCAAATCGCCAGGAAAGGTGGTTATATACTCCAGCGAACGCGTTATTACCTCAACTAGTGGTGTAATGTTGTCGTATGCGAAAATATTTAAGGATTCCAAAGGTTTCAAGTAACAAACATCTCTTGCAACACAGCCGATACTGAAGGCTCAAAATTTTCATGATTCTTTGCCAATTCGAGTATGCTGGCGCCGTGCTCAATCAGATAGTCCAACTGCTCGCAGTGGCGCACGCAGCAATCCACCATGTCCACAGCATAACTAAGCACAGGACTTTTTATTTGGCACCCGGTGAGGCGACTTGTCGTTGCGCTTGTAAATGCTGTTCCTTCTGTATGAGATCCATTAAGAACTGCATATTGTTGTTCATGCCTATCACTTCGACCGTATGTTGTCGTCCAGGCGTGTTACAGGTCTGTGAGTACAGTGCGTGCAAATGTGTAGCAAGCCGGATGATGTCATAGTTTTCGGCGCGTGTCAGATGCATAATAGCATCCAAATGGTAGCGTGTCTGCACTTTGTGCGCCAGCTCAGAGCCGAGTTGCTGTAGGCGATCCAGTAAGGGTTTCCGAAGCGGTGTGCTTTTGCTTCAGTGCTTGCTGGTGTGGATTCCTTTGAGTGTTCAGAGTTCTGCAACTCTTTTTCATCCTCTTTTGATTCTTTAGCTTTCGGCTAGCTCTATGGTAGTGTCGGCTGTGGTTTCGCTTTCAGTCTTCTTAACACATTTTCTAAACTCTCAGCTTCTATTTTGGGTTGGCGGACGTATCGTCAGCAACTTTCACATTCACTATAAGAAAAAAAATCTTTTAATATTGCAAAGGAGTTTTAAATGGTGTCTCTAACGCTTTTAAAGTCCTCAAAAATTTACTTAATTTCCAAATTTTTAGCAATTCACTTGCACTCACTTTGTAGTCCTGTTCCTCTGTAGGCGTCACATCTTCGGGCACTTCCTCATGCCAAGCAGTGCAGCTACCAACAACTGCGTCGTTTCAAAACAATCATCTACAAAATAATCCACACCCACATGCGTCTGCAACAAAGTTTGTAACAAATCTAGGACACGCAATAGCAACGACGATGGCACCTCATTGGCATTGATCAGCAGCAGAAGCAGGGATTCACCTAGCGTATGTTGCACAAAGTAGGACTGTAGTGCATTGGCGAAGCCGCGTTGTGCTGCGGTATCCACAGCAATTTCGAACTTCTTTGAGACTGGTAGAAATCGTTTCGGTTGCTGATAGGACAACGAATTGTCCACTAAAGCATCCATAATTTGCTCGATAGATTGCTCGATGGCAGCATACTGTTCAGGCGCTGTGCCAGGAGTATAATTGTCAGTACGAATAATTTGCTGCAGCTTTCCCGCACACATTCCAGCGCCTCGTTCAAGTGCAACTTCTTTACAATCGATTGCAATGCGAATTTGGTGCGAGTCAAATGTGACTGCTGCAAAATATTCAGCAGCAACTGATAGCCGTTTGTTTCGCCGCCTACAAGGAAGTAACGTATGCCTTCCTTGGTATCTAGCAAGGCGTAAACTGCCTTGAGCAGCATAAGCTTGATCGATACCGCCATATAGTTTTCTTTGTACAGTTTGAAGAGAGCTGTGAACNCTAGGCTGGTACATTTCGTTTGCAGTTCATATTTTCGCATAATAGCTGCCAACGTTTCCAGGTCCTTACGATACAATGCTTGCATTTCGCTATTATAACGACAAATTGGCATAGTAAATGGATCGAATTCGATTATGGCGGGACCAGCCGCAGCAGCTGCCGCTACCATGTCTGCTTCGAGCTCGTTGCCCAAGGTTTGTTCAATTGCAGCATTGGAATCGTCATCGCCAATAATTTCATCATCGCTGAGTATGGGTTCATATTGTTCACCAGGCGTGCCGGGGGTTTCGTCATCGTCTATAGTTTGTGTATCCGGCGCACCGTTAGTCAAAGACTCATCGGAACGCATGTAACTACGCTTTTTAAGTTTATAATGCACATCGTCTTCCGAATACTCCATATTGTCAGGAGACCGAGGACGTGTTGGCGAGTCGATCGATACAGGTGGCGTGCGCGGCGGCCATTTATGTGACTCCTCGGCGTCTGAACGTGAACGCTCCGAGCGTTTGCGACGCGAACGATGCGAGTAATCAGGGCTGCGTGACCAGTCCCGCGATATTTTTTCACGATCACGTTCACCACGTGAGCTAAAAATCGAAAAATAGTAATGTGAATTTTAATTAGGTTTTAGTAAAAAAGTTTATTCTAGAAATTTCTCCAAGATGGTAAGGTCGCAAGACCAATCGAGTAAAAGCAAATTTTCAAATCAATAATCGGGTTGTCAGTAAACATGTACGTTAACAAGAAAAATGTGTGCTCTTGCAAGGATGCAGTGTACCGTTAGTACGGTACTACTTAACAACCGTTTAACAAATCTGAACTACAGCGTGTTCGTGAAAATGATATCTCCAACATGATCTTCAAAGGGGCATAATTAAAAATTTGACATTTTTGAAATTATGCGTTAAAAATGTACACAGAGCTCATGATTCAATAATAATAATAATAATTGAATCATGCACAGAGCTTTTATTTACCTTTCAGCAAAAGCTGTAGCAAATTTTTGTTATAGTTTGTTAAAAACCCTAAAGTAAAGTCTTCCTTGCCCTCAAGATTATCATGTGCTCAGAAATAGTTTTTCGCATTATCTGACAAACGTGTAGGTAATTTTGAGTTGTATCACCTTTGAAGGTCGTGCGCGATATGTACATTAAACACAGTGTGCAGTTTATAACAAAGACAGATAAAATGGGAAAAGTTTTAAATAAATGAAAATAAGTACGCGAGTACTTACATACGTACATATCTCACACCTAAATCTAAACAGCGGTCAACTCGAAAAAAAAATTAATTAAGACTAATTTTTCCATAAATTAAGGCATAGGACTTAACCCCAATTAATCCAAATATTTTCTTTATGATTATATACACTAACTAAGTTATACCCGTTTTTGTATTGATTGCGTTGAATCTGAATTAGCTCACTTTAGATATAGGTGTGCGATATGTTCACGAAATAAGAAAAAATAGTTAATATGATATAACCATGAAGCGAAAGAGGAATAACAATATTTAAGCAAACAACAAAACCGACTTATATTTCATGATCTAAGTTTGGGACCACCTCTGAGACACTATTTTTCGGATGCAAAATATATAAAAAATATTCCGACGAACTGATAACCTCCTCCTTTTTTGGAAGTTCACGAGCAATCTTGTAGAAATAACCTTAGGTTATGTGGGTTTAGTTTCCCGTCCATTGATTTGATATCTCAAAATAATGTTGACTATTCTCTAACCTACCGCAAATATTCTCTTTCATTACTCTCCGAGTGCGTGCGATTACGCGAAGGTAATGAGCGCTCCGAAGAATGCGAAGTCTTTCGCATGCCACGTTCACGTTCATCTCCGGATTGTTGGTAGTGGTCATTCCGCCCACCGGCATACTCCAACTCATCCCGCTCAAAATCGCTAAGATTCGCTTTATGTACAGATGGCACCTCACTCGGTAAAGGTTCCTTCCATTCGTCTTTGCTTGTCTCCTCCAGCAAGCTTGGTTCACGCGTTTCACTACTGCCACTTAAATTGCAAATCTCTTCAGGACCAGCTGGTTCGCAAGGTAGCGGTGGTGGGCTTGCAATTGGTTCAGTCATCGAATTGGTTAGTATACCATACACTGCCAAAGTAATTGTGCTATACCAGCCACGTAATACCAAACCATCAGTGGGTATTTTCTCTTGTGTACATTCTAGATGAATGCAATCGTTTTGATTATACTTTAATTGACCTAAATTTTCAAATGTGGAGGCACCCGGCATGCCCAAATCATTGACGAAAAATTCAATATCAAATTTTGAGGGATTGGTGGCACCGAGGCGCACACCGCCGGGAAAGTCGGCTTGCACGCGTGCTCCCAATGGTATTATGCGCACTTGAGTGATATACACTGGCTTTGGAAACTGCACAAGATCGAGATTGATGTCCTGGAAAAACGAATGGTTAATAACAGTTGAAGATTAAATGGTGAAAACGAAACGAAAAAAAACACATGCAAATAATCACCGCTTACCGTGTCCACTTCATGTGAAAAGGTGTCAAAGAAAAGAAGCTCCGCTGCATCGTCAGTTTCCACCATTTTACACTTAACTGAAGAAATTCAGCTTCTAATACACTATGTACTGGTTTCTAGGGCAAAATAAAATGAATAAAATATTATAAAATGAAGAAAAATCACTATTTTCCACCAGCATCAGCC